GTACGCCGCCGAAGTGCGTGGAGTATCATAATTTACCAGGATGTGATCCTGCTCATCTACCGATTTTTTCCTGAAGGATGAACTGGGAGGGGGGCAGCCCCTTCTAGCATAAAGCACACTTTACCGTACACCACGGTTGAGAGCAATAAACCAACAATCCTGGCACCCCCGAGATAATTCAATTGATAGATATATAGGTACTTCGGTCGCTCCTACTCCATCTATTTTCCACTGGCTAGAGGCTTCGGGCTGGATATAAAGAAAGTAAATGTGCGGCATGGTTGTATTCCTTGTTTGATTTCAAATACTTTATTTTTAGAAACTGATTGGTTTTTCTGGCGGGATTCTTCCCTGAAAATTGCTCCCCTTTTTTATTCCGGAAGAAGCGAGATTGGAGGTAGAAGGGTTAGCGTAATCCCTCATCGTGTATTGCTGTCCGAAAGTATAGCAAGCTCTTCGGTCGGGTAGGGATGGGGAACGTGGGGCGTTATACAAAGTGTTGATGGGTTGGTGGTATTTCTGATTGCCTAAACGGAGAAACTTGTGAGTTTTTTTTCTATATTTCTTTTTCTGGTAAGGCCCTGTTTGGCGCATCACAATAAAAATATATTACAATAAAAGTTGAAAATAGCATATATTCTAAAATGAATTTATAGCATATTTCTGAAATATAGGGATTTGGTTGTGCAACCACAAAATGAAAATATATGACAAGACAATATAGACCCTATACTTTTTTTTGGTAAGAGTAGGGTTAAAAATTTCCTTTAAGGATAAAAGAGCCTCATATCTTACTAATCCAATACTATACACTCTCAGACAACAACATACTACAAGCACCACTGAAATACTTCTTTACATATTTAAATTCATCAAGAGTACATAGTTGAACAATATAGTGAATTTTATTATATATTTCAATTGAGTCTTATATTGATAATATGTCATATACAAATATTTTCTCACATTGTCATTTTATAATAGTATGATTAAGGGTTTTCTTTTCTAACCCTTAACTTGTATACCTTATTCTCAGATTTATGCCATAAAAATATATTGTAAAAATAAAAATATATGATATCATGATATTTTTGTACATAACAAATGCACCCCTATATAAAAAGTTTTAGTTTGCATTATTTATAGTATAAAAGTGACTTTTATACTATAAAAATGGCGCCCCAAACAGGGCCTAAGTGATATATAAGTTGACTCGCACTCTAGTACTCGTGTGGTACCATCTTTCGAAACTATGGCTGTGCGCAAGTGGCGGATAGAACTATTGGTTACGCTATAGAAGGAAACTGGTCTCCACCGAATTCTACCACTGCGGGTCCAAGATCCATTTCTCGGTGGATTGAATGGTTCAATAATTCATGGCACTGTAGGCTGGAGATTGAAACACCCCTCTAACGCTTCATACCCTACCCTCTATCTCTTTTGAGAGTCAGATTGGAGCTAAGAGAAACTGGGTCAACCAGAGAACGCGAAGACCCCTGGATTGCGGCACTTTTATGGTGCAGCGGAGTAGCGGAGTCGAATTTGCACCCGTGGTAACCTTAGTTTCCTACCAGCTAACCGGGCACCAGATATATCGAGTATCCTATTGCCCTATTGGCCCGCTGGTCGATTTCCGTGTCTGGCCGTGCGACTCCAGTCCAGCCGTGTGATCAGAGAAGGTGAACGTTGTAAGCAATTGGGCAGACCCCCTAAGCACAAATATATCCCCGCGAAAATATACTGCAGCACCGCCGATCTGCCATGAGCTCCGCTTCCCGAGCACACGGCACAACACCGTTCCGTCATGACGAACTCCGATCCCACTCCGAGCAGGTAAGGAATGTACAATTCTACGGGCAACTAGAAGCCAAATGCCTCCATGTCTAACTCTTCATAATCCGCGTTCATGAATAGCAGGGAGTTACAGGCGGTGCCACTAACAGGTCAAAGGAGGGTGCTATTCTCCTGGAGTGGGGGATTGTGGCTATATGGGCGGGTCACTCGTTATTGTTATATTTTACGCCAAACAGGCAGGAAGAAAAAAGTGAAATGGAAAGAAAGATATTAAGAGACACCTCCAGAACAGAAATATCATAGCAGAATACCGGAATAACCGGAAAAAAGGCTCAGAGGCCTGCGGAGTGAGTGCAAATGCCGGGGAAGATGTTTTCATATAATGCAGGGATTATTTTGCAGGCTGGCCCGGGTTACCATTACACTAAGGCGGATACTTCCGCTCTTGGTGGGAATATTAACCCGGATACTTCCAAAACTCTGGCAAGCCTGGGGGCTGTCGGTGGGACAAGGGAATTTATGGAAAATCTGAGGTATAGATTGGTTTGTCTAATCCCGGTGGTCACCAATTGACAAGGTTGGTTCCGGGTGTCTACAATGACGGTACTGGAGCTATTAAGTACGCAACCACCACCATCAGCAGGGTCTATAGTTCAGCAATTAACAGGGTTTTGCATGGTGCCATATGGTGATATCAAACATGTTATACCCCTAGCCACATAGCATTGGACACCCAAAACCCACCCACAAATATACCTTTGTTGACTTTGGGGTACAGTACTGGTGCCTGCTGGCGCCACATTTCTCATCCAATACTCACTCGGTCCGGAAACGGAGCTTATGGAAATCAAGAGGAATAAACATTAGATAGTTTTGTCAAGAGTTTTAGTTAATTGTCCTGTTTCTTTGGGGTGTGTTCATTGTTAATTTAATTGGGTGATTTGTTAAAGGGGCTAATTTCGAATGCCCAAAGCTGCCTAGCCTGATACAGGGCCCAATCTTGGTGAAAAAGCGGAGAAAAGAAGGTAATCTCGTATTATACAGGAGGAAGACTAGCACGACGGAGCTTCCGGATGCATGTAAAGATATCGAGGAGACAGATGGGAGGTAGACAACCACCGTACGATGGTATGCTAATACCTGGGGTAGTTTCTTTTTTTTTCCTCCACCGCCAGAAAAAAAAAGACAAGGAAAAATTCGGTTGGCCAACATCCATAATATTAATACGATATTTGAGGTGGTAACTTAACCCCAAATAGACGCCCAGGCATGATCGATCTCTGGTATACCGATGCAGATTTCACATAGTTCCCAGTTCCTGCTGGGCACCAATTATTGGATATAAGCTGCCCGAGAGAGCTACCATCTTTTGATAGTTGATATTAGATATATTGCAACAGCGTCGCTATTTTGAATTTCAATATTATTACATGTTATACTATCACTATTCCCTCTCTGTGCAATGGTCATGACACTATGTGGTACACGTGGGCGACGACTTGTCCTTCATGACACGTGGAGGGGTGAAGCGATAAAATTAGAGGGCGGCAGAATAACCTAGGTGGTGTTAACTTAAATTTAAGCTAACGGCGAGGCTGGACGACCTGGTTCTTTGGTTCCACCTTGTGAAGGTCTGAAAGCCATTACATCGGACCCTTGAATTGAGCAGCCTAAATGCCCACTTCTATCGCACTTTCATGCCTTCATTAGGGTATTATCTTGCTGCCGTTCTCCTTAAACACAATCCTAAAAGGGGTTGTTCTAAGATACTTAAGAATTGGCCACTGCATGACCTCTTGGAAGGACTACTGTCATAAGTTTAAGGGCCTGTTTGGGTACGGCAGTTCAGTTCTGTTGCCCCATTCAAAATGGCCATTACCTTCGATTGAGAGAATTCCGAGAGAACGGCTTCTACAGGCAAAATTATCATAAAACGGAATGGTCGTCCTTCCTTCCCCTTTTGCTAAATATGCCCCAAGGAACTCGACATTTGTCGGGGGTTCGGCGGGCTCTCGATACGAGATGCAACCCCTAACACCGGTAACACTATTGGTGGCTCGCACCTAGGTCAGACTGCTCAAACCTTCTATTCAGTGCAGTCAGAACTGAGCGTCGCGCGCGGTGGCTTTTCCGGTCTTTTTGCCCGTGGCTCAGTGGGTTGGCAACTGTCCGAACTCTCAATTCTTGGCTGTATCGAATTTCGTTGTCTCACCTCTCTACCAGGTAAGTGGTAGAGGTAGCGGCACTGAGGTTCGCTTATCCAACATGTGCTTCCTTCTGCCGGGCAGTCTGCTAACCCTGCCGAGCACGCGTTGAAATCCAGCAGGGCTGGGGAAGGGGATATCTACGCTGATACCAACCAGCCTTAGGGAAAAAAAAAGCATGATCTGGACCTCATGTGGTAAATCACTCTGTAACTCATGCTCCAACCAGGATTACATGAACGGTTTACCGTCCGTGCCGAACCACTTTGAAGGTTAAAAAAACTCTTCCTATCTCCTGCCCTGTCTCGTCGCACGAGCCCTCGGAGCAGTTATCCAGGGCGGGGGATAAGAGCAACGCTTTTTTCAGGAGAATTACTAAAAAGTCCGGAGGATATCCGAGGTGCCCCCTGGAGAGCCCTCATGCAGTAACCCAGCAGCTCGAAACCCTTCTGACCTGCTGGTGGCGTGTGCTATCGCTGCCATCTTTAAAAGTTTGTGAATGCGGTGGTGGCGATAGGGCTCAGTATAGTATATCACGTTCACAACTCATGGCAGGTAATACTAGGCCAGCCAGATTTAGAAGAGGCTTACTACTACTTTCAACTATAGTAGAAGAATTTCAGGCGGGGGTCGAGTATATGTATTTCGACAATGTGTGCAGGATCCTAACCTGGGCACAGAGGGGGAGGTGGAGTTAGTTAGTGGGGGGGAGGCTGGAAGGTTTAATCGCTCCATAGATAACTAAATAATTAACTGATTTAGCAGCTAGGTAAGGAAATGGAGGATTCGACCCACCCTCTTCCCCCAAATATACCATAGAGGAAAAGTTTCCGCCGCGGCTCAGTAAAGTCCTTCTCCGGACATCGGCTTTGCGTCTTTCAGATGTCTCCTGTCACCCGCCGGGTGGGGCAGCGGTGGTCTGAAGAGTGATTCATTAGGCTTAAAATGCTTTTATATAAACCTCATCCTCCTCGGTATTCTTTTCTCCTTCTTGGCTTCCATAGGCTACATTATTCCTTCAGGACTTTCAGGAGCCCCTATCCTTACTTTACGGCCTTTCCAACTTTGTAGCTTGGAACGTCCCCTTCTCTTAATTCATTCTTCCCCTCCAAGTTTCTTCCCTCAAAATGCGTCTCAGCGCATGCCTTGGGGTTGTAATTATCACGACCACTGTTTCTGCATTCCCCTCTCTATTCGCTGCGCCTGTCACTGAAGACTCAGCTCCCGAGTTGTTTCCCAGACAGATTCCCAATTGCACCAATGGCCCCACTACGAGGAACTGCTGGGATGGGGTTAGGGACATTAACACAGATTATTACACCGACTTCCCGGTGACAGGGAGAGTTCGTGAGGTAAGGAGATAGAGGAATGCAACCAATATTCCATTGCAAAAAAAATTAAATTGGTGGCTTTTTCATAATCCTCGATACAAAAAACAAAAAATAAGGTGAGAAATTGCTAACTTTGGTGATCAATTAGTACTGGCTGACAGTAGAGAACTCGACTTTCGCTCCCGACGGATACCGGCGCACTGTGTTGACCTTCAATGGGACACTCCCGGGCCCTACGCTTTACGCCGGTGAGAAGGACCCTTTATGATACCATCATGTCATGGATCCTCTCCCCCATGGGATCTTATGTTGACGTCTACAGATTGGGGTGATACCGTGCGTATCCATGTTACAAACAACTTGGAATATAACGGGTATGCTGCCTCCGGGACTGAGCCGAGCCATACATGAGCAGTGACTGAAAGCAATTTCTCAGAACAAGCGTCCACTGGCACGGGGTCCGTCAATTGGGGACCACCGAGCAGGACGGCGTTAACGGGATAACACAATGTCCGTGTATCCCTCCCCTAACATTGGACACAATAGATGCTAACGACTTCACAGGCGCGTTGGCACCGGGCAACAGCCAAACTTACGAATGGAACGCAACCCAATACGGACCCAGCTGGTACCACTCTCACTTCTCCCTACAATATGCCGACGGTGCCGCGGGCGCACTCGTAATCAATGGGCCCGCGAGCGCAAACTACGATGAAGACCTGGGCCCGATCCTGCTGGGCGACTGGTATCACCCCACTGCATTCGCGCTCTGGCAAAACATCCCCACGGACGGCCCTCAGCCGGCAGATAACGGACTAATCAATGGAATGAACGTATTCGACTGTTCCAAGCTCACGGACACCAACTGCGTCGGTGGCGGGAAACGCTTCCATACAGAATTCAAGCCCGGGAAGAAGTACCTCTTGAGGTTCATCAATATAGCTACTGATACGTTTTTCAAGGTCTCTTTGGATAATCACACTATGACCATTATCTCCACGGATTTCGTCCCTATCAAGCCCTACGAGACAGAGTTCATTTCTATTGGAATCGGCGAGCGGTACCAAGTTATCATCGAGGCGAACCAGGCTACGGATAACTACTGGCTCCGCGCAATATCACAGGCGGCCTGCGGCGCTGCCAACACTAATAGATTAAACATCAGGGGGATTGTTCAGTACTCCGGGGCGAAAAATACAGAACCCACTTCCAGCCCTCGCTTTGTCCCAGGAAGCTGCGACGACGAACCGATGGGAAAGCTGGTCCCGGTTGTCGCGATAGACGTCCCCCCATCAGACCTAGGTGTCTCCCAGCAGGAGGAAGTCACCATGTCTGTACCCGACAGAATATACTGGAAGCTAAACGGTATCTCCGCGAAGATAGACTGGTCGAACCCCACTCTCCTGCAAGTCGCTAAGGGGGAAACATACCCGGAGGACTACAGCGTCTTGGAAATCGGCCGCCCAAATTCATGGTACTACCTCGTTATTGAGACGGCCCTCCCCATCGAGCACCCCATCCATCTCCACGGCCACGACTTCCACCTCATCGCCCAAGAAGCTGGAGCCTTCGACGCTTCCAAGGTCAACGCGACTTGGACCAACCCACCTCGCCGGGACGTCGCCATGTTGCCCAGGAATGGGTACATGGTCATCGCCTTCAAGACGGATAACCCGGGGGTCTGGCTCCTGCACTGCCATATCGCCTGGCATGTTAGCGGTGGCTTTGCGTTGCAATTTGTCGAGAGAAAGGCTGAGTTGGTAAAGATGTTCAACCCGCCCAGCGCTTGGCATGATACTTGCTCTACCTGGAGCACCTATTCCGCTTCTAGTATTAATCCCCCACAGATAGATTCCGGTCTCAGGAAAAGGGTGTATCGGGATTTTTAAGTAGGGGTCCCAGTACGCACGCATACATTAGATACGGGTGTAGAGGTCAGGAGGAGTCATTGCTCCATGTTTAGAGTTTATTCTGTCCTTCATTGATTTTTTTTTCTTTTTCCTCCCCCCGAGGGGGTATGTTTGAGAACCCCATATATTTGCCATATATTTCTTACTATTTTCTCTTCTTTTAATCATAGTATAATCATAGTCCTTGGTATTATAGTAGTATTGTCTATGATAATCACCAGAATTGTAAATCTCCCCTTTATCTTTCCACTCCACTCAAGTCAACGCACTAAAGCATTTTTAGCCGCCACTTTCCCTGATGCTCAATTAGCCTGCGAATGTGACATGTTTCCTCTGCTTTTTTAGCCAGAAATTTTTAGGGTCCGTTTGGCACGCCGTTGCTTGAAATAATTGCTATTTCAACATTTGTTTTTTTTGGGCCAAATTGTGTGTTGAAATAACAATTCAGTTTGGCATGCCCTTGTTAGTACACTGATCACAAGCATCCTTTCAATAGGATCGTAGGAAAAATTAATTCCACAAATAATGGATATTTATAATTTTTATATCCTGTATTTGCCATATATTAATGACCAGTTATTATTTTAGTATACCGCAAAAACTCGCCAAACTCGCTATGCAGGGAGGAGAATTTTGGCACTAATGTGTGGCAATACAGCCAAGATAGTTCTAGTGACCAACCTATTTTCTCTTAGCTGATGAGACCAG